TTGCCCGAGTGTTGTGAAGCCGGTGTTGGTTTTTGCCTACGACCTGGCAGCCGAGTTCAGGTTTGGCACGTGTCCAGGCGTCCAGTCCTGGCTGCCGGCCGCTGGCTTTTCCGCACTCACTCTCTCGTGCCCTTGTTCGCGTCATCTTTTTCTCCTTCCTTCCATCTTCTAACATTAAAACGCACTCTCAGCTCTGACAACGATGTCAAACGTTGTTAAAAATGTCGGCTTCTACGAACAGACGTTGATGAAGATGCTCATGGCTTATGCCGTAGAGAAATCTAACGTGTAGCATGATGTCGCCTGGTGCCTGGCAGTGTCCCAGTCGTAGCCCTTCAGCTGGAGGCCAGATCCGTCGGTAAACACTACAATTACGTCGTCGCAACAACCGTCGTTGAGGCTGTCGATAAACTGAGGTTACAGACTGCTGCCAGTTGCTTCAGTGCTGCAACGTAACTATTTATTGACTAATCTGCTCGCTGTTTAGGACGCAGGAACATATATTGAGTGAGATCTCCTACACCTGGCGGTCGACGTCTCGCCTGGCGAATTGAGCTAACTCAGCAGGTCATGTGACCACGAAGGCCATTTCGCGCGGTCATGAGTGTAGTTTTATCTTAACGTGAGACTGAAAGTGCTTAGCCCTCCCCTACATCCGTGTTTTCGGGGTACTTTTTTTTCACGTTCGCGGGTGCTTTTTCGTTTTTCCTTCCTGTACTTGGTGTTCTCCGATGTCAATTTTTCGGTGTCTGACAAAACATCTGGGTTATCGGGACGTGCACGCTGACAAAAACAAGACAAAGATGTAGGAATCCCCATCTTTTGGAGCACGTGCGCGTCACCCGAATGCATGGAAATTCTCTCGGTACCCAGAAGTCAGAGAAAAGAGCTCAGAGGTCTGGTTTCCGATAAAATCAGAATCCTTGCGGAACGTCAATGCGGGCTGTGTTTCGGCTCAACACAAAGTAAAGCTCTGGCTATCGATTTATTTCCGAGAAACTTAAGGTTTTCCTGTTCAAGGGCAGGTCCGATTTAGGCATTTTTCGATATTAACTGATTTTCCTAAAACCATCTCACGGGATTCTTTTCAGGGTTTATGGGTATCTACCAAGAGCAGGAAGCCTACCTTTAATACGTCATGTTTTATGTCACGACCTCTATGTGAGACTGAGGCAGCACGAATACACAGTGCCATTGAGTTTAGGGCTTTACGCTTACTGACAAATTCCATTTTAAATCATCACTCCGCACAATGTCAAAGGTTGTTCCTGGATTAGACACATGTTATGGACGTGTTCAAAGTTGAAAACGCTTTTCGTGGTTCATCACTACTCGCACGAACTTCTCCGATTGTGGGTGTTCTGCCAGTGGTTACTTCAAAAGGAGCCTGAGCGTGAAACAATTCAATCTAAGGTACCTGGGTCAGTGTGGTCAGTGTTTCAGAAATTCGCGTGTCTTTCAGTCTCAGAAAAACACATAAAAATATCAATGGCAAGCGGGCCTATACGCGATATTACACTTGGTTGCTCGAAAGAGGACAAACACATTAACTGAACATTAAATAGTAAATCACTGTTGCTGTTTAAAATAAGCACAACTCATTGAATCCTAGCTAAGGCGAGTGCCATCAAAGGCGGAAATTACTTTTGCGAATCATTTATTTGCAACGAATTTAGCATATCTCTATACAAACTACCGAAAATTAGCGGGTTTATTAGGCAAGTAGGAGGGTTCAGTATGTCATTGCTTCAGCAATACGTTTTTCTTTTATGAAGAATCGTTCCCTGTCTGTGCTTAAACGTAATAAAAGACGCGCTACTAAAATCATTTAGACCTTGACATATGATGCGTAGAAATTTGAGATAGGAACGATAGCGCCCCTCGGGTTTTGCACATTGCCAATTGAACAAGTCGTGGCTGACGTAAGAAATGAGAGGTATCATGTATGTGACTCTGAATATGTCACGTGAAAGTCGAGCTTGACACTTCAATTTTCTCTTTGCCGCGTGAAAAAACGTAGTTCAATAGGTGTACGTCTGGGATAAATCAAATCAAATCAAATCAAATCAAATCTTTTTATTCTCCAGAAATTCTGGAGGGGAGCCTAGGCAAAAAGCTGTTCAAGAACAGCTTGACTGGGCTCAGGCTCCCCCGTTTACAGGCAGCAGCATTCGATAGAGAAAACAAAGAATGAATACACAGTACGCACACATATAAATACATGAAAATAAATGCTACAATTCATTTAAACAATGAAAATACAATAAAAACCAACTAAATAAAATACGACAAGATGTCTTTCTTGCTAGCCGAATATATATCTATGTTCTTGGTGAGATATGTATTTAACAAAGATGGAAGAATATGCCGCAGGGATTGCAGATTATAGTTTGTACGTGACCGAGGGATAGCCCAAAACTCTGTACGACGTGTGCTGACGATGCTGAGGCTTTCAGTTAATTGCGAAATACAGTATAAGAATTCAATAACTGATGGCGGTGCGAAACGAATGGAACACATCAGGCGGTATTCATACAAATGCTTAATAGGAAGGATATTATACTTAGTAAACAGAGGTTCAGTGTGATCAAGATAATGTACTTCCGCAATGTGTCGTAAGACCTTCTTCTGGAGCAAAAATAATTTATTTATATTTGCTTTAGTTGTAGTAGCCCAGATGAGATGACAGTAATTCAAATGAGACTGAAATAATGCGTGAAATATTTTTAACTTAACATGAAGTGGCAAAATACCACGACAACGAGCAAATACACCGACAATACGAGACAGTTTCGAAATCAAAAAGTTTACATGAGCGTCCCAGGTCACATGTTCGGAAAAGTATACACCTAATATTTTGTGCTGGTCCACGATTTCTATTTTCGAATTGCCAAGTAGGATTGGGCTATGAGTTAAGATAGACTTATTTACGGGTCTAAAAATAATTGCTTTGCATTTCTTCGCATTAATCCTGAGCGCGTTAGCCTCTGACCATGAAAAGAAGTTCTGAAGAACAGAATTTGCGCGACATATTAATTCATCGGCACTATCCGCAGAAAAAAAAAGGCTTGTATCATCGGCATAAATGATGAACTGTGCTTGGTTATCAACGTTTACAATGTCGTTGCTGTAAACATTAAACAGAAAGGTCCCAAGTATACTTCCTTGAGGTACCCCACAAGGAACGTCTTGAAAAGAGGAAGCATGATTATTAATGACAACAGACTGTTTACGATTTTTTAAGTATGACTCAATTAGCTTATGGGGTACGCCACGGACACCATAGTAGTCTAGTTTTGCCAGCAATGTTTTATGATTTAACACGTCAAAAGCTTTAGAAAAGTCGATGAACACGCCTAATGTAAGCAACCTTTTTTCTATACCTTGTAATATAATTTCTTTTTGCAGCAGTAAAGCTGTCTCGGTGGATTTACCTTTCCTAAATCCAAATTGAAATTCTGTTAATACAGACTGTTTAAGAAAAAAGTCATTGAGGCGAATAAAGATAATTTTCTCAAGTGCCTTAGAAAACACAGGTAGCACCGATATAGGCCTGTAGTTGGTGACAACGTTTGAGTCACCACCTTTATGTATTACTGAAACTTTAGCCAATTTCATATTAGTGGGAAATTTACCTGACGATAAAGACAGATTATATATGTGTGTTACGCAGGGTACGATGATATCCATCACGAATTTGACAGGTTTCAATTGTAGTTCATCAACATCTGTGCTTTTAGTGTTCTTAAGTCCTAGAAAAATGTTAAATATCTCTTGGTCGTCAGTTGGGGCTAGAAAAAAGGTATGGCTACTACGCGTGAGCTTCAAAAGGGCATCGTCATTATAAGGTTTGGGTTGCAGATTTAGAAAACCCGTGTTGAAATATTCCGCCAAAGGCACACCAAACATAGCTTGGCCATCAATTTTTAATTCGCCTATGCGAGGAGGAATTTTACTACGATTCAGGACTTCGTTAATCATTTTCCATATAATGTCAGGGCGTTTTTTAGTAGCATCCTCGAACTTGCGCTTATAGTACAACGTCTTCGCTTTCCGGAGTTCAGACGTTAGGACGTTCCGAAATTTTTTTAAAGTTAACAACTTGTTGTTATCTCTCGATGTGAGAAACGATTTGTATAGGCGGGCTTTTTTTTGCATCATTTTAATATGTATGGGTGTCACCTAAGGTTTTCTTATTTTGTTGGTCACAGTTATAGTTTTAAATGGAAAATGTAAATTGTAAAGTCTTTGAAAAACATTTAAAAACTCGATGTACGCATCATCCACATCCAGCTTAGAATGAACTGAGCTCCAATTATGGTCCAAAACTGCATTTCTGAAGGCCAGCAAGCAACTATCTGACATGTTCCTGAAGGTGACCGTAGCCTTTGCAACCTTTCTTTTCAGGTCATGATTAAACAGAGACAAAAAAATTGGAAGATGATCGCTAATATCAGCACACATGGTTCCAGAAGCGTGTAGTTTCGTAATGCAATTCGTGATGAAAAGATCAATTGCATTAGATGTGGTCTGGGTGATCCTAGTAGCTGACGTAATTATATTAACAAACCCACTTGAGCTGAGCACATTTTTGAGCTCAATAGTTTGAAAAGAATCATCTAGAACGTTAACGTTGAAGTCTCCTCCCATAACTACGCTAAACTTGTTAATCGAAACATGTTCAAAAAAGCGATCGAGAAAAGCGATAAATTTTCCAAAGTCTCCCGATAACTATAAGCGCCCAACAGTCACTGCACCAATAACCGTGCGACGTAGTCAAACTGTGAGCAAAATAACGCTCGATATTTCTCATATTATTTACATTTACGAAAGCGTAATGGTGCCGAAATTAAACAATGCCTATAAGTACGTTTTTGTCAGCCTGTATAGTTATTGAGATCACCTCTTTTAGTCAATTCAGGGATTTAACCCTTTGGCTTGAGCCAGCGTGTAATATGTTTCAAAAGGTTATATTTAATTTTCAGATTTCTACCTCGAGAATGCCAAAACTGCTTCGGCGAGGTGCCAAATTAATGGCAGCTATTGTGATCCTAATCATGGCACTCCTGGTGACCGAGAGAGGCTTTGGTTATTTGCCTCACCTTCAGCAAGAACACGTACCTTTGCGATGGTTTGACGGATCAACAATAAGTGCCGAAGAGTTGCGCAATGCCCGTGTGTACAATGAACCTTCCAGTTATACCATGAATCCGGTCAACCTCTGCCAGACAAATTCAAGTTCCTTGGACTACCTATTTTTGATCCCGTCCGCAGCAGATCATTTCGAACACCGGCGGGCCATTCGCGAGACCTGGGGAAAAGAACTGCGGCAGTTTCCTGGTATTCGGCTTGCCTTTCTTTTGGGACAACCTCAAGACTCAGAGTTGCAATCTGCCCTTCTTCTGGAATCCCTGGAACATGTTGATTTGATACAAGGAGATTTCCAGGACACATACAACAACATGACTGTCAAAATTGTCATGATGATGCACTGGGCGATCAAATACTGCTCTCACATAAAGTTTCTCATCAGGATGGATGACGACGGCGTCCTGAACGTGCCCAACTTCTTCAAAGCCATAGTCCTGAAGCCTCAGAATGCGATGTACGGACTTCTGGTGCGTAATATGAAAATTATAAGAGACCTTAGTCACAAGAATGCATATACAGAAAAGGATTTCCCAAGACCCATTGCACCCGATTTTCTTGCTGGGGCAATGATTATTATTGGTAGCGAGACGTTGATGAGCTTGTACAAAGGAACTGGACATGTGACACCGGTCAGGTCCGACGATGTTTACCTGGCTGGGATGGTGGCGGAGCGTGTCGGAGTCCCGCTGGTACATCAAGCGGGAATTCACTACTGGAAGCAGACGTCTCCATGTGACCAGAAGAAAGCGATCTTCTATCAAGACATGTCCCCCACCGAAATGAGAGAGGCGTGGTTCAACCTCCAACGAACCGTGCACAAGTGCTATGAACTGCCATTTCACTTCCACTTTTGCTTCTGTAGAACACTTGAAAAGCTTGATGGTATTGATGAGAACTCCTTACTATGACGTACCATCGATACTTCATTGTAGAAGTTTTCATCAACGTTGGAAGAAGTACTTTTCTTCTGCCCAACTAATAAATAACTGGACTTATTCATTTCTTTTTTGCCGAATAATCGGTATGAACAAAATGACCGCTTCATTTCGGGCGCCATATATCGTACACGTTTGGCACGCCATCCAACCCTGTTAATACCTTCAGAGCAACAATGAACTGCTACCAACCTCAAGCATCTTCATCCGATCTCGGTATGAAAGGTACTTGTATCTGTGTTATATAATTTGGCACATAACGAGCACAAACTTCGGGTATACATCCCCACGAAATCCCCACGAAATGTTCTAACTCCCTGGGTTAACCATGGGGCATGGGAAATTCTGCTTAAACTGAAGGGTACTTCAGCATATAACGGCAGTCATGGAAAACGTCACGAAACTCTGAAATGGCAAAACACGTGGGGAAGTACAACATTGTTTCTTTGTCTCTTTGGGGGAAGACTATGATTTTCAGTAAAAGGAAAAGCTGCAAGAAATTGCTTTCAACTTGTGAATCAGAATTGTGTCAGTGGGCAATGCTTTGAGCACGCCAAATGTGTCTACTTGGTCTTTTTTTATGAGAAAAGAAGAAAAAAATTTTTTGAGCTTTTTTTTTATTTTTTTATTGCGGGTGTTGACCATGAAATAGAAGCCTTTTTGGAGTTCAAAGTGTCCTTGACACTGATTTTATAGAGTGCTTTCGGTTGTGTCGTTGGCGCCGGGTAGAAATCTGGCGCGACGCAGAAAGAACATGAACAAAATGTGGGAAGGATGTGTAAACAGTAATGAATTAACTATTTGTGGTAATAAAATTTAATTAGCTGCGTTTGAGACGTGGTGTGTATTTGCCCATTTTTTGTTATTCGTCACCGGTTTCAAAAACGTGTGTTGATGTACTTATCGTAAATTGTCATCTGAGGAATCGTTTTTTGTGTGTATAACAGTTGAAGTTACTAGAATAGTGACTCTTAGTAGCAAACATTGAAAGGACCATTTTGCAAATTTCCAGTAAAATCGAAGCAGTCGGCTTACTGGTTGACGTCTAAAGTTAAGCTCCCGGTAATAAATTCCAAGCCCTACAGTTCGTCGTCAATGCAGTAACCTAAGTAATGAACGCATACAAGGGTGGTTGTAGAAAAGACAATAATGAATTATCATGAAAATTGAGATTTAAGCCAAAATTTAATTTATAATTCAAATAATGATTCAAATCATGTGGTTTAAACAATGTTTATTTAAATCAAATAATTAACTGCAAGAGCATACTCTCGAAGATCTGAAATTTCCATTACTCTAACATTCCGCTGAAACAATGTATTTTACTTTAACCAAAGAATCACCAAACACGAAACATTATTGTCCAGGTTGAATGAGAGACAATCTTCCTTCTCTTATCTCAGAACAGACAGGAGTGTCCCTTGCTTCTCTCAATGTTACACTCATTGCTAAAAACGTCTTGAGAAGAAACTAAATAAAACCATTTCGTGCTGTAAAACATATATATGGCATATGGTTAATTGGTATTGCCTGTTGAGAGGAAGTTGAGGACGTCACATAGTAGACCCGATAGAGACAGAATAAATCTATACGTCTGTTTCTCAATCATGCGCCCTTTTGTGGAGGTCAGGCATGTCATCACGTAATATATTAGTTAACGTGGATGAATGGCAAAACTGTCTCCCATCAAATTTGGACATTGCTATGTTGTTCTAGCGAAACCGTCCTGCAGTGAACGCACAATTTTATAGTCAAATGGTCTTTCATTTTGTAGTAACGAAAATCATCCAATCAGCATAAAACATTATTTTAGCACATATTTTTTGGAGACTGTAAATGAGCACTGCATACATTACTAAATGGTGCAGGTAATCGCAGACTGTATTTCTTTCTTGTTGCTTTGTTACTCTCATGCCAACAAAAAATTCAGACTGCCCAAAATCAGATTAATTATGTGGCTCAGATACCAATCCTTAGTTATACAGACATAAAAAAGTGCAGATAACCCCGAAAATTGAAAACAAACAATCCTTAAAAAAAATAACGAGTTTTAATTTATATTGGAAAGGATCTACTCGATACATCTCGTTAAGTCTTAATTGCAACTCATTAGGTTTTTTTCTTCTGAGTTCCTATTGAACCGTCACAGGATAGTCGTCACCAAGTTTTAATGAAAATGTTAGAAATGGCATTTCAATTGAATATTTGGCATTAGTGTTTCAATTGAATTTTTGCAATGAAGCAAGTTTCAATAGAATTTTTGCAACTCTATTTCATCAACTGTTTTGCAACCGCGTTACAAATCCTGCTACTTGTTGAAATTTCGTATCTTAGAATGCTTTACAGCATGGAGCGTTGAAGAAACAATGCATATGAGGGAAACGAACACAAATATCATACAACACTCATAACACACTAATCAAACTCCCCATGACTACTCCACGGCCTTATATACCCTACATATGAAAGATATTTATTTGGCCGGTGACCACCTCAGCATTTATTAAGGTTCCAAATATGCTATCCCCTCCTCGGAAATGCGAGAAATGTTAAAGAGTGTTTCGACGTTATTGGACTATATCCCTTAATAAAAAAAAATATCGATACAAGCAATAATTGTTTGGTGCAGTCGCTAAATCACAAAAGCGATTAGTAGCCGGTGTGTTATCCCTTCTCTGCACAGTACCACTCAGGACAAGACAATGCATTGTATTTTCTCGCTTTAAAATATGTTATTGCTTCTTTTCTTTACAAAGCTGCTGCTATAATAGGCTCAATGATCTCACTGTAGTCCCAGACAGAGTGAAAACTGCATGACGTGTCTTTCAAACACCCGTCCTTCCGCACGTGCTCTATGCCTTCCATTGTGTTTTGACAGCGCGCGCGATCTTAATGGGCACAAGATGCGTTTTTGAGGGGGTTTGACTCAAGCTTGAAAGGGGGCGAGCAGGGGTTTCCCCAGGAATTGAAATCAGGGGGGGTGTCTAAATTTTTTTGGGGGGTTAAAGGGGGGGGGGGGGGGGCATTGCGAATATAGGAGTCGTTGTGAATTAATGGGGTGCCTTCGGAAAAACGAGGGGGGGTCCTAACCCCCCTAGGGGGGGTCTAGGGAAATCCCTGGGGGCGAGTGAAGCTCCTTCCGGTTGTTCTCACCTTGTCAGTGACCTTAGAGTTGTTATTATAATGCACGCTATGGCTTTCGAAGGTGTCAAAAGTTTTGAATTTTATTTCCTGCAGAAATGAATCTGGGCAGGTATACGTTTATTCTGAGAGACATAAGAGTAGTCACGGTTATTTGCAGCTGTCTCCTTGATGGGTTCCTCAACAGCAAAGCGCGCAAACCAACTGATGTCCACTACTCAATGACGAAGACTGGTTTGAATCTTTAATCAGGAGAGATATACATTTCTTTCAAGTAATAAAACTCAAATGCATTTCCAGTGGCTACGCTCAAAAAAGTGAATGGAAGAATTAATTTATACATCTAATGAGTGAACTTTAAATAATCAGTTTTAAGCTTTTAATAATGAAACTCGTTGCAAATATATTAAGTTCTAAATAATCGATATTGAGTTCTTATGATAAAACTCGTTTTCATATCTAATGAGTAAATTCAAATAAATAGATATTGAGTTCATAATAAGCAAACTGAATTGAATTTTAATAAGTAAATTCAGATGAATGTATATTGAGTTTTAAATGAGCAAAGTTAATTGCATTCTAAATGAGTAAGTTCAAAAGAATTTATATTGAGTTCCTAATGAGCACACTCAATTGCAATCTTAATGAGTAAATCGAAAGAATATTGATTGCATTCTTAATAAACAAACTTAATTTTATTATTAATGAGTGAATTCAAAATAATAAAAATTGAAGTACCAAACTAAATTGCATTCCTAATGAGTAAATTCAATAGAATCGATATTGAGCTTCTTATGTCCAAACTGAATTTCATTCCACAAATTCAAAAGGGTCGATATTGAGTTTCTTATGATCAACCAATTGCATTCCTAATGAGCAAATTCAAAATAATATGCACTGAGTTCTTAATCACCAAACTCTATTATTATTATTATTATAAAGGAACCTTATTTTTCATTTCAATACATAAATGGAGGAAACAAGGGAGAAAAAGCTGTGAGAGCAGCTTGGCGGAGCCATTTGCTCCATTCTAGTGGCATATACAAAAGTCAAAACAAAGCAACAGCGAAAAACACTGAAAAACCCGACATAACGAAGTAAAATACAAAATATCAAATAGGTCTCATAAATCAATTCATTCGTTTTCGCCCCACATTAGTTAAGTTCGTAATTCATAAATTGCAATAGAAATAATATCTATGTTATTTTTTATTAGGGTGTTCAATATAGTATGAAGTGTTTATTTTAGTGGTAGCATTGAATAGTTGTGACACAGTGGCACAGTCCGATGTTCCGCCGACCGAGTTGGGTAGGAAGTTGCATGTTCTTTTAGCTCCGCAAAATTTACTAAGCTATCCCCATTTCTTTTATTTTCTAACTTAAAAGTGATCGCGAGTCTGTACTTGTACATGTTGTAAACAGGAAGTATACTATTTTTATGCACAGATCCTGGGTGCTAGAGTCGTAAAAAACAGTCTCAATGAGACGCACATTCTTTTTTTTTTGCCATAGCAGTACTTTTTTATGTTTGAGAAAGTGGTTGTGCCCCAGACTAGATAACAATAATTCAGGTGAGAAAGAAATAAAGTTTGGTACAAAAGAAGCTTAACATTTCTTAGTAGAATAAAATGATTACGAGAGACTAGTCCAATGACCTTTGACAATCTAGTGCGTAAATCATTTACATGATATTCCCAAGCTAAGTACTGATTGAAAACTACACCTAAATTCTTAAAATTATCTACAATATCTATATACTTTTCAAGGGTCTTAGTTGTAGAAATATTTTTTTGTTTTTAGGCCGAAAGATGATTGCCGGTTCAGTGCGTTAT